TAACATCACTGATCATTGGAGAGATGCAAATGAAAACAATGCTGAGACTCCACCTCACCCCAGAAAGAATGGCTGCTATCATGAAATCAACCAATAACAAATGCTGGCAGGGCTGTGGGGAAAGAAGAACCCTACTCCACTGCTGGTGGAAATGTAGACTGGTGCAACCACTGTGGAAATCAGTACGGAGATACCTCAAAGAACTAGGACTAGAAGTCCCATTTGACCCAGCTATTCCCCTGCAGGTATCTTACCCCAAGAATTAAAAGAATCATACCACAGTGATATGTGTGCACCCATGTTCACAGCAGCACAGTTTGTAATAGCTAAAACTTGGAAGCAGCCCAATTACCTAACAACTGGAGACTGGATAAAGAAAATGTGGTTTTTTAAATAAAATGGAGTACTACTCAGCCATAAAGAATGAGAAATTAGAGACATTTATAGCTAAATGGATGCACATGGAGGCCATACTCTTAAGTGAAATAAATAGGACACACATGTGTAAATACCAAATAGTTTTTCTCATGTGAGAAACTGAAAATGTAAATAAGGACTAAAAGGTATAACAGATAACGTGAAATAGCAAGAAAAGGGTCAAAGGGGAAGGGGAAGTGGGAGGAGTAGGGGAAAGAAAAGAAGGGAATGGAATTAATACGAGAAAATGAAAAAATGGAAACAAAGTCTTTGAAAATAGGGAGAGATGGAGGGGTTGAAGGGAGGGCAGGGGAATTGGGCAAAAAGAAGAACCAAGAGAGATTATGTAAAGGTGGAAATTTCCAATGATGAGTGTCATTATATTGTATACCTAAAATGTACCAATAAAGTTAAAAAAAAAAAGATAACAGCTGGGGGTGGTGGCACACACCTGTAATCCCAGCACTGGGGGATGCAGGACAATCCCTGGAGGGCAACTTGAACTACACAAGGCCAGCCTTAACGCATGCCCTTATCTCAAAAAAAAAAGATAGCACATGAAGGTGTTCAGGTTGTTTTACTGTGGATAAAAATAAAAGGTTTTTAAAATTCCCAATCCGAAAATAAACCACTGCAATGTCTTAAAAAAATTTCAAGCCAACCTATTTTGAAGCCCTTGTTTTTTGCTATTTTTCTTCTGGTTGTAAATAAAGAAGCTCATTATCTGATTATTTGTGTGTCTGAAATCCCTTAGTGAGACCTTTGTCCTTTTCTTTGCCTTCTGCTCCTTTCTGTCCCTACTTTCCTTTTCCTTCCTACAGTCTCTTTTTCCTCCCATTTACTTCACCTTTTCACTCATCCTCTTAACTCCATTCATTCAACCAATGCTTCTGAAGACAAACTGCATGTAAGGTACTAAATGTGAAAGACATGAAGTAGATGCCAACCCTTCACACAGACACTGCCATTTCCACTCTATTTTCTTTGGTACCGGGGATCGAACTCGGGTCCTGGCACTTGCGCATCCACTCTGTTTTCTTGCACTTTATGTCAGAACTCATAAACTTCCCAGAATCCCCTAATTGTGATTTGCTACCAATTTCCTAGAATAGTCCTAATGTGAAGTAATTGGGCCTGTCAACACCACAACATGCCCTTACAATCCCCTGATACTGAGTGCTTCTAGTGTGGTGAGAGTACAATATGATTGCACACCCAAGGCCAGGGTACCAATGATGCTGAGAGGGATGAGAACAAGGCCATCACATAAGGCTAAAGCAGAGACTTGTCCCACATGACTGTAGGGTCTGGTGCCTGTGGACCCTGCCTCTTCTCTCTGCCCCCAGACAGAACTCTACTGCTTCTACTCTGCCTTGTCATCTGTACTTGGCTGCCTTCATTTTCTTCCCTGCCAACAGCCCATTTTTCTAGAAATTGCCTCTGAATAAGAAGCATGTGTTCATTTCTGAGAGACGTGTTAAATAACTTTGCCCCTCTGGTCCCTTAAAAGTGGATAAGGGTGGTCTTCATAGCTGGGCTGGGCTGGGCCAGTGTGTCTGTCTTTCTCTTTCTCAAGAATGTGAATTAGGGAACATAAGAAAACTATTATTGTTGGTTGTGGACTTGATCAGTTGTACTGACTTGGGATTGATAATTGAGTTGGGCCCTGGGCAAAGACTGAGAATGCTGAAAGAGTGGAATCAGTCATTAAGAGAAGCAAAGAAGACAGAACCATGATGCCACTGAAGCCTGAAGAAACTGCTTTTGTCCTGAGGAGCTTCCCACAGCCAGTTGTCACAAAAGCTGGCTTGACCTGATTCACATGATCATGAGTGTTCCAAGACTCTTGGTATTTACCCTCCCTTAGCTTGTCTGAATGGAATTTGGAACCGTGAAACCTAAGCACATTCATGCCAACACATCTTCCTAGAGAGAGTTCTCTTTGGGCTCTTGTCAGATTTATCCCTTCTATAGAACTCTGATCCTGACTCAAACTCACGTGTCAAAATGTAAGCTCAGATTTTCAGCCTGGGTGAAGCTGCCTAGGCTTTGCCTGCCAGGAAATACCCTGCAGAAGCTACGTGCACAGCCCCCACAGGCTTGTCCTGTCTCCTCTTGAGTTGGTCTATTGCCTAGCATTGCAGTTGTACACCCACAGGCATTTACTACCTAATTACAGCAAGAGTTTTAAAACATTTTGTAGCTAATGACTTTTAAACACATTTTAGAAAGTGGTGTTACTGGCTACAGGAGACTAATAATAACATTCCAGACATGTGCTACAGGTTTTAAGCACACTGCTTCATCCATAGCAACCCAAGGAATCATAACAATAAACATGTTTATCTCCTGTGTGCTAGCCAATATTGGCTCCCTCTCTCCTTTTCAGGGGTAAAGGTGACAGATCTTTTTTTTTTTTTTCAAATATAGGTGGTTTTGGCTTACAGAAAGTGCTCACAAAAAAATATAAATGAAGAAAAACTTTAAGATAGGATGGGTATCGCTGGCTTTTCAGTTAAAAAAATTGCACATTTAATAAAGTCCCCAGATAAAGTATGAAATAGGAAAATCAAATACAATCATACAAAGAACAATTAGTAAATTCATCAAAATTTGATCTAAAACTTGTGTTACATACTTAATACTGCTCAGAACTAGGGTTTAGAACAACTGTACAATTATTTTAGAATATCTTTTACCCAGTATGTGTAAGATGGGGAGTGCAGAAGCCATTAAACTCAGCTGAGGTCAGCCCCAGTTACAGGCAAGGGGCTTGTGTCTAATTGCTGATAACGTCCTCAAATAATCTGCAACAGGCTAAGAGGATTTCTGGGGAAGCAACCATGTGAATCCTTTGAATTCCTCAGTTTGAGAATAGGGATGGAGAGGCTTATGTCAGATAGTTTAGCCACACAACAGAGAAGAAAAAACAATATTAAAAGGAAAGAAGGTTTGTAGCAGAAAGCTACACAACCAAATAACTACCTGGCTCTCTAGGATCCCCCACTCCTTCTCTGAGAAGTTCCTTGCTCCCCAGTTTGGGCTGGAGGAATGTTCTGGATTTATACCCCTGCTCCAACACTCATTAGCTGTGCAGCAAATTATTTAACTCTCTTTCCCTTGGTTTCTCTGTCTGTAAAGTGGAGATTATATTCTCAGGGTCATTATAGGATTAAATAAAATAATGATTAGAATAGCACCTGCCACTTAGTAAATAATAAACATCAGCCATTATTTCTGAGTGCATGCTCCTGGCCTAGCGGAGCCATACTGGAACCATATTTCTCTCCTGGGAATGTGGAATTGGGATCAAGTTGGTCATTCTATGTGGCTGGACTAGTAGCCAGAAACCTCAGCATTGTGCTTTGAGGCCTACAGAGCAGAGAATGACAATCTCCAAAGAGAGGAATAAACAGGTTCAGTGGGAGGAAGTCTCACTTGGCTGCCTTCCTACACCTGTTTGCTTATTTAAAAGGCATCCTTTGTGCTTAGACTAAATACAGGGATCCCCTCCTTTTGCAGCCAAGAATCCTAACCAATACACCTACACCTAGAACAAAGATGAAATCTGGTTAAGAAGAAAAAGGACGAGGAACAGACTAAATTCCCTGTTACTGTTAGAAGAAAAGAGACTAAAATACACCAAAAGTGAATAGCCAAGACATTCTCTCTGTCTACTTAGTGTTGAGTGTCTTTCCCCAAAATTCCTTATCAGTTTGCTTTTTCCTTTTGGTCCAAAGACATATGAAATTAGGCTTTATAGCAGAAATTTTGTGTATGTATTTTTTTAAAGGTCCATAATAGGTACTTCAAGGGTGCCATGCAATTGCAGGCAGAAATCTATCAACAGGAATCTCTCAAAAATTCAGAATTTTTAGACAAAAGAAAGGCCTGAATAGAGTAAGGATTACTTTTTTCCCCTCTGAAGATTTTTCTCAAGTAGAAAACATGGTTTCTATTTTAATGACATTAAATAAGGTTTTAGCTAAGAAGGAAATTTTCTTAGCTTCAGGTATTAATATGAAAGCATAGACCAGAAATTTTCATCTTCCTCCTTCCCTCAACCTTACCAAACCTTACCAGCTTAGCAATAAAAACACTCTTCCTGCTCTAGAGGGAAAGAAAAGGGGATTTGAGGATCTAGGTTCTGATTCTAGGCTTCTTTACCCTGTACCAGTAACTTAACACCAAGGACCTTGCAAATCAGTTCCCTTCAATTTAGCAATTATCCAGGCTATGCAAGCTCTCACCTCTAGACTGTACTATTTGCATTTAGTTTTGTGCTTCATATCAATTTTGACTGTACTTCTTGGAAGAATAGTGTGGCAAAATTGAAAAGAGAGTCTCAAAAAATGGAGCCCAGTGTTGGAGGTTTCAACATTTGGCCTTTTGTGTCAGTAGCCAAGGACCCGCCTCCATCAGATCCCCAGGGGGGCGGATGAAAGGGCTCGGGGGAGCAGAACACAGGCCCTCTGTGTACCACTGAGGCCCCATCAATAGTAGCCCAAGTCTGGAATGTGCTCTGTGCAATGAGGTGGGCGTACTTGATGTCACACAAATGACATTCTTGAAAGAGAACCTACCTGGGTTGAAATAAAAAATAATATTCAATAAATCCTGGTCTCCCCACGTGATAGCATTCTTGTACTTCTGGTACAGAGGGTATAGCATGTCCTCCCAAGCCAAGCCTGTCGGAATCATGCTGTTCTGGAAAAGAGAAAACCATCAGCAGAGCTGAAGCACTGCAAATGCTTCTTGTCTACTGAGAAGCAGGGTAGGGAGACTGGTTTTCTTTCCCTCCAACAGAGGAGCTGGTCCTGCTATCTTTGGGGCACAGAACAAAGCAAACATTAGGGCTTCAGGTTAGAGTTTTTCTGGCTGCACAGATGCTGGGCAAATGGGAATTGGTGGTTGGACCTATGGTTTTTACTCAGAAAATCATGCACCAAAATAGCCCCTTTGGTAAATTTATTTCTTATCTAGAAAGTGAACAGACAAAATACAGATAGCAGGATTAAGGCATGTTAGGGAAAAACGTATTTCCCTCTCTTAAAGCAATTATTTACTTTTAAAATAAAAGTGACCCATTCATAGACTAAGTATTCAATCATTATATAAACATAACATATGAAAAACCAAAAATATTTCTTCCTCCATCTACCTCCAAATCCCATTCCCAGTTTCCCCAGAAGCATCTACCATGAATAATTAATCATCTCTTAGGTACTCCTCTGGAGATTTCTAAGACACAAAAGTGAGCACATTACAATATTATGTGTGCTGCACATACTTTTTTTTTTTTTTTTGTACTGGGGATCAAACTTGGGACCTTGCACTTACAAGACAGGCGGCAGCACTACTGAGCTAAATCCCTGGCCTTATATTTTTTTGTTTTTTGAGACAGGGCCTCACTATGTAGCCCAGGTTGGCCTCAAACTTGAGGCAATCCTCCTGTCTCAGCCTCCCAAGTGCTGGGATTACAGGCATGAATCACTACACTCAGTGTAAACTATTCTCACTTAAAATATTTTTAAGATCTTATTGTCTTAATTATAGATTAACATATTCTTCTTGTTTTTGTTTTTGTTTTTTGGTACCGGGGATCTTACTCGGGACCTTGCGCTTGCCAGGCAGGTGGCAGCACCAGTGAGCTAAATCCCCGCCCCCAAAATATTATTATTTTTTTATATTGCTGCAGATCAAACCCATGGCTCTGCACAGTCTAGTCAAGTGCTCTACCACTGAGCTACACTCCAGCCATGACTAACCTGTTTTTAATATGAGGATAAATTTTTTTGACTAGTCTTCTACTGGTGTTCATTTAGGCTCTTTCCATTTCTTTGCTAATGTAAAAGATGAGACCATGAATACCCTTGTATAAATATCTCCGTGTACTTAATTAAATACATTTCTAAAGTACTTCCAAAAAATTTTACATAGTCTTTGAAGCCTTAGATATGCACAGAGTTCAAACATTTTGGAATTCAGAAATGCCACGTAATATTCCTAAATGGTAACTCTCCAGAAGCTTTAAATTCCATAGCCATCCGGGCTTTTCTGAACAAATATTCCATAACTTTGCGAATGCAGTCCCCTGGGTCCTTCCCTCCTCACATACAGACCCCCACTGTACTCTCCAAATCTACACAATTAATACTCCAGGCATACCCCTGTTGAAAGGACTTACACAAGGAACTTTAAAGGATTTCGTTACCTTGAACTGGGTGCTTCTTATCCGAGTTAAATTCATCAACATGACTCCCGAGTTAACTCCTGCAGGGCCATAGAAAGGATGCCGGGCAAAGCGGCTGTACCAGCCAATCTTGGGGATTTCATGCTCAGGGGCCATGGCAGCAAGCTGTGTAGAATTAAACTGCCTCAGAAGCTTCCAGATGTCATCGACAGGTCTCAGAAAGAGAACGTCGGTGTCCACATAGAGAAGGGAGTCCACATCCTTTAAAATCACCTTTGTGTACAAGGGACAGCAACAAAGCAAGAAACAGGTCAGAAACAAAGGAACTGGCCTAATATGAAAATAATGCCACCAATTTTCAATGATTAAGGTTGAATTCTAGAAAGGAAACCATTGTTAGCTCCCATTCTCCCTTCTTTGATCTGAGAAATAAGTGTCAATCAAAAAGTACAGACTTTAAAATAAATCTTGATCTAAATTGGTCCAGGACCCTGGACTATATTTAATATGGGTTAAACTTTCAAAGGGATGCAATAACTCTTTTCTTTCATCCTCTAGGATGCCTCCCTGTCTTTCTCTTTTGGTTTCTCTTGGAACAGTCAGACATTAGAAAATTTGAAGTGGACTCTCTCTAAGCCAATTTATGTTGGGCTGGGTGGTACGGTATCCATTTCTTCTAGTATTGATGGGTATGGCTCTACATCTTTCTAAAATTGCATTTTAAGCTAAGATTTGGACTTGAGAATAGGCAAAGTAAGTCACTGGCCAGCTTTGTTTATAGACCAGAGACTGGCAAACTACTTTTTCTTGTAAAGGGCCAGACAGTAAATATTTTTGGCTTTGATGTAACTACCCGACTCTGCCTGCTGTAATGTGCGAGCAGCCCTGGCGACATGTAAAGGAGCGGCGGCTTGGTTCCAATAAACTGCCCTTAGGGACACTGAAATGTGAATTTTATATCATTTTCAGACAGCACAAAATGCTCTTTTGATTTTTTGCCAACTATTTGAAATGTAAAAGGCATTCTCTGCTGACAGGGTTTAGTTTGCCAATCAGGCTGTTCCAAATCATTTCAGCTGGCCTCCCTAGGAAGCAAGTGCACTGCTAGCTGCAGGGTTTCCACGACTTTGCCCTGTGCGTGATACTGCACACTCTGAGCTAGTAATGTTATTTGCCTTTTTTTTGCCTTTGTTCCCAAAACTTAAGAGTAGTTTCACCAAGGAAGGAATCAAATCTTCCTGGGTCCCTGGTCTTACATTCTGCGACACCATAACAACACATTATGAACTGTTTATGTTCCTTCAAGTTCATTAATTGAAGTCCTGACTCTGAAAGTGAGAGCATTTGGATATGAGGCCTTCAGAAGACAATTAGGTTGTGGTGAAGTCAGGAGGGTGGAGCCTTCAGGATGGTGTTAGTGCCTGTGTAAGAAGAGGCACCATACAGCTTTCTATCTTTCTCTCTGCCATGTGAGGTCACAGTAGGTAGGCAGCCATGTGCAAGCCAGGAAGAGAACTTTTACCTGACCCAAGCCTGCTGGCACCTAGATCTCAGGCTTTCCGCTTCCATGAAATAAAATTTTTGTTGTTTAAGCCATCCTGTCCATTGTATTTTATTATGGCAAGCTGAACAGATGAAGACAATATGTCATTGGATAGCAGACTAAGATAATACTTTATTGAGATCCTCAGTATTTAAAACTGACGAACACAGGTACCGTATCATACAGGTATCACAGGGCTCCAGACTAATTTTATTTTACTTTATTTTATTTATTTATTTATTTTGGTACCAGGGATCAAACTCTGGATCTTGTGCTTGCGAGGCAGGCAGCGGAAACACAGAGCTAAATCGCCAGCCCCAGACTAATTTTGAAGGCTACATGATTAGCTACAGGGTTTAGCTTTCTTTCCTTATCTACTACAGGAATGGATTTTACAGATCAGTAAAATGAAATTAAAAGTAATGACCTTCAATCACTTCATAAAATTATCCTTTTTTTTTTCCCTGGTAGTGATACTGAGGATTGAATCTAGGGCCTTTGCACTAAGGTACAACTCTAGCCCTTTTTAAATTTTTACTTTGAGATAAGGTGTTGCTAAAGTGCTCAAGCTGCGTTTGAACTTTGCAAGCCACCCCCCTCCCCACATACCCACATGTCCCCAACCAAGTGCTGGGATTATAGGCATGTTCCACTACACCCAGCTAAGAAAATCATCTTGATATCTGTTTTAACAACTCAAAGATCTGAATTTCAGAATTAGGATGAATTCTTTCATTGAACACACAGACCTTTTTTGAAAAATTTACCACATTTTTTTTTTATCTTGTCATAGAAAGGTAAAAACTTTGTCAAAGATCAAATAGTTGAATGTACTTGGAATTGTTTCTGTATCCTCTGTTCTATTCCATTGATACTCATTATATAGGGGAAAAAATGTAATTCCCAACCTGCTAGATGTCACATATGCCAAGTTCATGTTCCCTAAAGTCGAAGAATGAATTCTAAGGAACAGTGGAAGTTAAGAATAGGAAAATTTATTGGGGAATAGGAACAGCTCCTTAGAGACATAACGGGTCCCAACTAGGTTGCCAACAAGCTCACTTCTCTGAGACAGTTTTATAGAGCAAAATCATGAGGTGAGTACAACACGAGTCAAAACTATAATCAACCAATAAGATTACAAGTATTGCCCCTTGGCTAATATTGATCCAACAGTAGTAAGGGCATATGGATGACATCATTAACCCTGACTATAATCTAAAATCTTAGTTTTGTCTTTCTTTCTTTCTTTTTTTTTTTTTGGTACCAGGATCAAACTCAGGACCTTGTGCTTCCAAGGCAGGTGCAGTGCCACTGAGCTAAATCCCCTGCCCTTCAGTCTTAATTTTAATAGTCTTAGTCTTAGTGAGTGGGAGAGGATGGCCCACCCTATACAGGAAATCTCAAAGGGATGGTAGAAATAATCTCAAACTTCCTATCCTTTAGGGAAGTCTGTAAATCTGGCCATTGTTACTTTAATCTTTTTCAGATGCGCCTTCAGCCACAGTTTTTTGGGGTTTTTTTTTTTTTTGAGAGCCACAGTTTTGATGTGTTCTCATCCTCTGCATTGACTCCCTCAAGGGCCTAGCCCTGTCTGACTGCCTATAATATTTCTACCTAATTGAGTTCTATAATACCCGTATCTGTTTTTTGTGCCTGTCCCCTGATAGTTTCATCACTGTAGCTTTGTAATATAACTTCAAGTCCAGGATTGTGATGCCTGTCACTTTGCTCTTATTACTCAGGATTGCTCTTGTTATTCTGGATCTCTTATGGTTCCACATGAATTTTAGGATTGTTTTCTTCACTTCTGTGAAGAATGTGAAGAATTCTTCACGGAAATTCTGTGAAGAATTTTGATTGGGGTTGAATTAAATCTGTATATCAATTTTGGAAGTATGGCCATTTTTACTATATTTGTTCTGCCTCTCCAGAAGCAGGATATCTTTTCATTATCTGATGTCCTCTCCAATTTCTTTTTCAGAGTACTATAGTTTCCACTGTAGAAGTCTTTCACTTCCTTGGGTTAATTCCTAGGTATTTAATTTTTCTTGGTGCTATTGTGAATGATATTTTGCCTTAATTTCTTTTTCAGTGGGTTCATTTTTGGTGTACATGAACACTACTTTTTATGTGTTGATTTTGTATTTTTTTTTTTGGTACCAGGGATTGAACTCGGGTCCTTGGCTTGTGAGGCAGGCGGCAGAACCACTGAGCTAAATCCCCGGCCCATTGATTTTGTATTCTGCTATACTACTGAATCTGGTTATTAATTCTGAGTTTTTCGGTGGGGTTTTTGGGATCTTTTATGTGGAGGATCATGTCATCTACAAACAATGATAATTTGAATTCTTCCTTTCCTATATATAGCTCTTTTATTTCTTTTTCTTGCCTAAATGCTCTTGACAATGTTTTGAGTTCTAGGTTGAACAAGAGTGGTGATAGAGGACATTCTCATCTTGCTTCTGATTTTAGAAGGAAAACTATTTTCCCCCACTTAATATGATTTTGGCAGTAGGTTTGTCATAAATAGCTTTTATCAGATTGACTTAAAGAGAAATTTCTAAGCATAAAATATTCCTTTTCTTTTTAATAGTAAATATGTACATGATTCAAAAACTAATATAAATTAAAACAAATTCACTGATAACTTATTCTTCCTTGTCTCTCAGTAATCAGGACCCTTCTTTAAGACAGCCAATGTCATTGGACTACATTGCAGTGTGCCTAGGATATTTTTGCAAATGAGATTAGTTATGCATATGGAATTCCTTTTTTTATGTGCACAATGCCATCAGTTGTGTCTGCTTGTTTTCTTTTAAACCACTTGTGAAAGACCCTCCCACATAAGCATGTAGAGATTTGATTTTTTGTGTTTGTGCCTGTATAATTTTCCATTACATCAAAATGTATCCAACCACCCACTGCCGACCATTCAGATTGCTCTCAAGCTTTTGCTATGACAAATAATGCCACAACGAAAAACCTCCTTATTCTATTTTTTTGTTTTTACTATTTTATTTTAATTTTTATTAGTACTTGTTTTCAGTACATAATATTTACATTCCTTATGTGGAGTTGGTACATGTACATAACACATCTCAATTCCCTTTTTCAGTCCCTTTCCCTTCCCTCCCTCCCTTCCTCTCCTCTCTTGCTCTCCTTCACCTTTGAGAAAGAGCTATCTCTCTACTTCCTTATTTTCTATCTTTTATTTTGTTCCTTATAATTTTGGTTTCTCATATAGAGAAGCCACATAATAATTAAGCTTGTGTGTCTTGTTTGTTTCACTTAACATTATGGTCTCAAGGGGCATTCATTTTCTTACAAATGACTCAAGTTTATCTCTCTTTATGGCAGAGTAGTTTATCTCTCTCCATAGTGTGTAAATACCACATTTTCTTTATCCATTCATCTGTTGATGGACATATACGCAGCTTCCAAGATTAGCTATTATGAATTGTGCTGCTATAAACATGGGTATGCATGTATCACTACAATATGATGTCTTTAACTCTTTTGGGAAGATGTAAAAATATGATTACTGAGCCAAAAAGAATTATTAAAACATAATATAAAAATATAATTACCAAGTCCCAGAATACATATACTGTGAATTTGATGGGCAGAGTCAAACCCTCCCCACCCAGAAGGGTACCCATGTGGACTTTCCCCAGCAATGTAAGAGAGAGCCTCTTACCTGTTCCCCACACCAGCATGGGGAGTGATC